CTATCTTCATCCTACATCTTTATTTTTTTAGTCACATAAATCTCATTGCTAAATACAATAAATGGTCAGAAAATAAGTTACAGCACATGATTTTTTGCTGTTGTTTCCTCTGAAGCTTTTTGCCTACTTCAAAATTCGAGTAAAGATATTCTCATTATTTAGCCTCTGTTTGGTACAGATTCTTTAAAGGTCGTTTTTCCTCGAACCCATTTCAGCCACACATTCTCTCAATAAAATAATTTTGCACGTGGATTCATTACTTTTTTCTACTTTTGGAACACATTCTCAGAACAAATAACTTTTCACAAAATCTATGTCATACAGGCCCTTTGAGTCTTCAACTGATGGAACACAAAAACACTTTCTTAATTATTATTTTTATTGCATATAGATGACATGCTATGTTCATCAATCTGAACTTTCCCTTTTATCAAAATCTTTTGGTCCAGTTAAATACTAAAATATTCTGTAATAACTTAAACTATAATTTTACTGCTTTAAATTATTTGATTTGTTTAATGTAATTTATTATCCCAGCAAAATTCCTACGAATAAATAATGCATTGATTTTATGCTGATTGTAAGTCTATTTACATTTGTGTGTATATCCATCCATATTTGTGCACATACAACTGAAATTAATGTCTTTTTATTCTTGTTCAGCTATCAATCAACATTGAAGCAACTTTTCCGCGAGTTTGAAAATGGAGATGACTCAAATTCTCAGCTGGCTGCTGTAACAATGCGTATAATGCAGGCTCTTCAAACCAATTTGGATGGAAAATCTAAGCAATATAAGGATTCTTCTCTGACTCATTTGTTTCTCATGAATAACATTCATTATATGGTCAGATCTGTCCGCAGGTTATAACAATTTTTACAGATTGTTGAAACATCACAAGCTGATATTTTTGCTTGTAAAAATTGTTGCTTATATGTGTTGCTTTTAGGTCTGAAGCCAAAGATTTGTTAGGCGATGATTGGGTGCAAAGACATCGGAGAGTTGTGCAGCAACATGCAAATCAATATAAGAGGATTGCTTGGGCAAAGGTACTGCTTTACTATCCGCATATAATCATATTATCTTAGTTAACTGAGAATTGGTGATCTATTGCTCCAACTAATGCTACATGTGATGACCGTAAATTTCTAATCTGATTTCTACTAGATGTTTGGTTAGTATTTTTTGATATTGTAATATTAGGAAGCTACAAATATCAAGTTGTATTGAGATACTGCTGCACTGAATACACTTCTCAAGACTTAGAGCATGTCTGTCTAAGCTTAAGAAGTTTACTTATAAGTAAATTAATTTTAAAATAAATTATTTATTTTATTGGCAACGTTGAAAATAAGAAGTTACTTATCTTGGGAGTGGGGATCAAAACTAGCAAGTTCCTTAGCCTGTGTTTGGCTCATATTTATAAATTGTTTATAAATACTCAAGTCACCTTTGATACACACATTTCGAGGGACTATCCACTTTCCACCACTCATTATTACCTATTTATAATTTAAACCGATTGTAAACACTTTGAAAGTAAGAAAATAGTAACATCTTCCAGTATGTTTGGAATAAAAGGTTAAAAAGTAACTTTTTACATCTTTCTAAGATAAGAAAAACATGCTTTTAATTTGGGTTTAAGCATATATATCTTTGAAAAAGCAGACTTGTATTCACCAGCTTAGCATGTTACGCAATTAATGCTGCTGCACACACATACGCACACTAGAATCGCAACCCACATTTGTGTGTCCTATATAATAGTTTCGGCCCGGAATGGAATGAGAACAGTCCTGTTCTTTCCCCATCTTAATGCAGATATGCACTTCAACATTTACGCTTCCCTCTACACCTTAGTGATTACTGTGTCTAGGACTAGTTTCCATGTAAGTTAAAATTGGATGATTATGTAATGTACGAGTGTGATTCATTTTCTTTTTGCAGATGCTGGCTAAATTTTATAGTATGACTGTTGAACTAATCCATTGAGATGGAAATGTGACTGTTGAACTAATCCATTGAGATGGAAATGGTTCATGAGAATGTGGTATTTAAGAATGTGCTAACATTGAAATATCATAATTGTAACAATAATCTTCTATCGAAAAGCCACGTGCAATCCATCAATTGCTGATAGAGCTGTGACCTATCTGTTGCTCTCTGCTAGACCAGGAAATAGTAAAGAAAGTCCATCTGTTATATAAAAGTCTCTTATACCTTTTTTATTAAAAAAAAGGCAGTTGTTTATTTTGCATTTCCTTCTACAGATTTTGCAATGCCTCTCTGTTCAAGGCCTGACATCTTCCGGAGGTGGCAGCGCTGCTAGCATCGATGGAGGAAATAGCAGTGGAGTATCAAGAGCAATCATCAAAGATAGGTGTGTTTGAGTTGTAATTTCCTGGAGAACATTCTTTACTTGTTGAGTTGTATTATTTGAACTAAAATGTCATTTGACCGAATTGTTGCATTACATTAATAGATTGAAGACATTTAATATTCAATTTGAAGAGCTTCATCAAAGACAATCTCAATGGACAGTTCCTGATTCCGAGTTAAGAGAATCCCTGAGGCTCGCAGTTGCTGAAGTCTTGCTTCCAGCGTACAGATCTTTCATTAAACGCTTTGGGTACGTTTTCCCATTATTGGTATAAATATTTCATAACACTTCCACATGAATTCTGGTGTTATCCTTATATTCCTATGTATATTTATGGGAAAATTTTATCATTGATCCTTATTTTATTGCCCGAGTTGCAAGTTGGTTCAAACTTTCCATTATAGTTGTACAATCAATCTCTAGGGATAGATACTGTCCAACTCTTGTTAAATTGTCAGTGTGCCCCTCATTGAATCATACCCCACTTGAAATTTCTATGCACCAGCTTAGGATGGAAAACAACTTAGTTTTATAAAGTTGGATATGTGAGGCCACAACTTCTTAAAAAACATTTGGACGGTTTTCATTATTGGGACCTACAATCTTTCCATCCTTTGGAAGTTATCCTAAGGCGGTTTAAGCTTGCCAATATGATGGAGACCAACTTGCTCCTTGGCCAATAGGTTGGGTGCCAATGCTGTAATTTCCACTATATTTTGTCATGTTACCCTTGAAAGAATCCTAAATGAAAGGATAATGATTCTACATTGGAGGCAAAGTATTTCTAATTTGCAGCAAATGGAATTCTGTAGTCTCATTCTTATTGTTAATGACATCACCCTCATTGCACTGTGACACAAGTATATTCTGGTGACACGAACTTGGAATTTTGACATGTATCAGGCCTTTGGTTGAGAATGGTAAGACCCCGCAGAAGTACATCAGATACAATCCAGAGGATCTCGAACATATGCTTGGTGAGTTTTTCGAGGGTAAGACCTTAAATGACTCGAAGCGTTAGACTGATCTTTGTAATGAGGTTTACAGGCCTCGACTTTGTCTTTTATTAGACGAAAATGGGCCATTGTCTCGTGCATGATGTTTTTTTCCTTTTGCCTGTTGGGGTGGTTTAGTTCTTGACAGCATGTTGTAATATATTGTAGAGAAGCTTTCTTATTCATAGATTGCTTGTTTTTGGATGGAGAAATTGTAATAAGGTATGAATGTTCTGGGATCTTAACACAACTCTTAGTTTTAAGGATCATAATTCATATATAACAAATTCATTATAATATTTCAAAAATCAGATGGTAAATAAATTTATTAAATATTAAAATATAATATAATATACATTAATTATTTCCACCAATACCACTCATCCTATCACTTTACTATACCACCTCCCCTCCACCTCTCCACTAGAGACGATCATCGGCTCCGGCGATCACTCCAACCGTTTTGACAATCACTTCGGCGGCGCTCTGATGACCGTTTTGACGATCACTCTGATGCCTGCTTAGATGACTGTTCGACAATCCCTCCTACAAACTACTCTAATGACCACTTTGACGTCTGTGACCAACTTAGTCTTTGGTGTGATTAATTGTGATCAAATTTGTATTCAGTGTGACTATCTGTGACCATGTCAATTTCAAGTCACAACTGATCACACTCAACACAAAATTGGTTACAAACAATCACAACAAACACATACTTGATCGCATAGGGTCACTACAAACAAATTTGTACACACTGCAGACCTATGATTAATGGGGGCCAACTTTATCTTTTGTGTGACTAATTGTAATCAAAATTGTATTCAGTATGTCTGTTTATGATTAGGTTAATTCCAAGTTACAATCGGTCACAACTACCAACAACAGAATCACCACAGATTAGAAAACCACCGACACTGCAAAGCACCAACAACCATTCCAAAACTCTAGTTAAACAAACGATCTGATAAAAAACCGCCCATCTCTAAAAATTTGATAAAACTATGGTGATTCCATCTCCTTTGTCACCAAATCCAACACCAAAATCAATCTCTCCTCTACTACCTGTGAGTTCATCTCTACCATCTAATCACTCGCAGCCACCACCACCTATAAGCTTACCACCACTTTCAATATTCTCGCCACCACCCATTAATTCACCTCACCACCACTAAAGCGGTCTCTGTTACCTCTAGTAATCTGTCACCCTTCCATCCATTGTCCCTGCCGCTTGAATTTACATTTGAAAATTTTTGGTTGGACTAGAGATCGATTTGGTGGTGGTGGGTATTCTGTAGTGGCACATAGAAAAGAGGGAGAAAACAAGTTGGGAATGAATTGGGAATGGGGTGGGGGTTGGGTGAATATGTAGATTAGGTTAATTAAATTTTTATTAATTACAGTTATTAAAAATTAATTATCACTTGACTTGTGAAATGAAAATTAATTCCCTTGTTTTTTGAAAATTAATCTTTAAAGGTAGTGTTCTAGATAATTTTCTCGAATGTTTTACCATGTTTTGACCCGCTAACGTTGGCAAATTTTTACGTGCTTATTTGGACGCGGGTCATGCAATGTGTACAAATTAGGTTGACAAATTGAACCTTGTTATACGTCAAACACCCGCGTACACTCCCCTCACAAGAGGTGGGTCCACTTTTTTTTTTAGGGCGTGGGCCCCTTCTCATATGAGGGGAGTGTCAACCGCCCGTGTACAAAAATCAAAATTCTTACAAATTATGTGTTGATACCATCTAAATCAATCATTTCAAAAATAGTTTTTGAAATCAATGGTCAACACTTAGTTTGTAATTACAAAGTTTGTATAAAGAGATTAATTCTTTGGACACACACTGCCCCAAATAAACCTAGTTGTTAAGCATCCAAAAATGCCTATAATTCCTCTATTCTGCTTTCAAGCCTTAAAATATTTGCTGGAAATGCAAATTACTCTTTCTTTTTACGCATGCTAGGCAGGTACCTACTTATTTTTTTGAAAGTGATTAATCCAAAGAGAAATATGTTGAGACATGTTTGGCTCACGGTAGGTAGGATTAGGCAGTACAAGATAGAGGATTTTTTATTTTTACTTATTTTAGTGATGTGAAGTCCATCTTAACGTTAAGAAGAGTGGGTTTTTTTTCGTGTCGTCACAAAAAAAATTGTTCTCTCCTAAATAATTTCTTTTGATAAAATCTTGTCTAATAACTGAGTTAAAAAAGGTTTAGTTGCAAACCAAAAGGAGAATACATAGATAGATTTGTGATTGTTCTTGGATTCAAAAGGAATGGATATTTACATTTCAAAATAAAAAATGGAATGATTATTTATCCGTCAATTTTCAAAGATTGTTGTCTGATAAATAAAAATTACGATAAAGTACATAAATGGTTGGTATGATGGAAACTTATTTCAATTTAATATAGTAATACACCGAGTTTTAATTTATATAATAATACAATATCAGTTACCTTAGATAATGAGTAAATTTAACCAATAATCACTGAACTTTACACTTGATTACTACTTGCTCACTCGTCTTCCACATATTACTGAATGCTCATTTATCTTTTCATATAATTACTCATTCACCACTCGTCTCTTCAAATAATTGGGCTACTTTTACGGCAAACAACTTCCGACCACAAAGAATGTCGAATTTTGATACCGTTGGAAAGCCCACGATGTCCTCTTCAATTACCACCCAAAATCTCATTATAATTTCAAGGGATTCGATCGAAAAATTGCCTTAAAAGTCGCTCAAAAAATCTGAAAATCAGGGCAGATTTTCAAAATTTTTGGGCGACTTTTAAAGCAATTTTTCGGCAACTTTCGACCATCAAAACTATCGAATTTTGATACCATTGGAAAGCCCACAATGTCCTCTTCAATTCCCACCCAAAATCTCATTATAATTTCAAGGGATTCGATCGAAAAATTGCCTTAAAAGTCGCTCAAAAAATCTGAAAATCAGGGCAGATTTTCAAAATTTTTGGGCAACTTTTAAGGCAATTTTTCGATCGAATCCCTTGAAATTATAATGAGATTTTGGGTGGGAATTGAAGAGGACATTGTGGGCTTTCCAATGGTATCAAAATTCGATAGTTTTGATGGTCGAAAGTTGCCGAAAAATTGCCTTAAAAGTCGCCCAAAAAATCTGAAAATCAGGGCAGATTTTCAAAATTTTTGGGCAACTTTTAAGGCAATTTTTTGATCGAATCCCTTGGAGTTATAATGAGATTTTGGGTGGTAATTGAAGAGGATATCGTGGGCTTTCCAACGGTATCAAAATTCGACATTCTTTGTGGTCGGAAGTTGTCGAAAATTTGCCGTAAAAGTCGTCCAATTATTTGAAGAGACGAGTGATGAATGAGTAATTATATGAAAAGATGAGTGAGCATTCAGTAATATGTGAAAGATGAGTGAGCAAGTAGTAATCAAGTGTAAAGTTAAGTGATTATTGGTTAAATTTACTCCTTAGATAATAGGGAATTTATCGACTTCTTGATATATTAATTAAGCATATATAAATGACAAAAATGAAATATCTTAAGATAATGGATGAAAAACCATATTTATTTGTTTTTGCTTTTATTAGAGAAATATTTGCAAATTGCTGACACAATAAAACTGAAAAAACATAAGAAGCCTGTTCGTGTAGAATTTGCATGGAAACGAAACCCAGTTCTCTTTACTCCTACTCTTTTCAGTGCAGAGAAACGATGACCTACTTAGAAATGATTGAAACCAGCATGATAAACATATCCAAAATCTCATTAAAAACAATATTCTCGTTAACTTTATTGTTTCCTGCTCTTTTTGACCAACTCATCATCACCTTAACTTGGGCATTATTCTTTTCAGCAGCCCCACAAATATATTCCTCTTATCTCTCTGCGTCTGATGATTGAGGGATCCGAGGCATTGATCATTGAAAGAGAGAGAAGAAAGATTCTAATTATATGGTGATTAGTAAGAGTTCGAGATCCGAGAGTTCTTCCCTTACTTTCATGCAAAAATCACTTGGAATGGAAAGAAAAAAGCTTTGTATAGACAGCTTTAAAACACCCATTTTCACCTTTTTCTTTTCTTAAAGAAACACTGCAAAAGTTCAATGTGTGGAAACTTTGTCTCCATTCCAACACCCCAACCTTTCGTAAACACCACATTGATCACACCACGCCTTCTCTATCTCTTTTCTAATCTCTAATGCCATGCCATAAGAAAAAAAGTTGTATTGCCTCATAAAAGTAGATCAATATTAAAACCCTAGATGGCTACATTTACTGTCTCTTTGCTGTTCCCTTTTCTTCTTTTCCGTAAGGTTATATATTATTAAATTCCACTAATAATGATTTACAGATTATGCTCAGATTATCATGCTTTTCTTTTGAACGGCTACATATCATTGTTTAATCACAAATGTTTAAAGTGTTCCAATCATCAAATTGGTTTTTGAAGAAATTAGTGCCACAACACACAGAAATATCCTTAAAATATGACAGATGAAATTTTTGTTTTTTAATTAAAAAGGGTTCAAAAGCAAGTATATTTTTCGGATTTCTATCAATTTTTCTAAATGCCAACCTCTATACCTGTACCTTGTTCTTTTATTTTTATTTTTCTTTTTTACTTGGGGATTATGTCCATGAGAAGAATTAGTGAAATGAATTTGTGGGTTATTTATTGCATTCAAATTTCCAGTCGAGAAAATGTGTGTTGGTTAATTACTTTTCAATTTTAGATTTTTTCATGAAATAAATGAGATTTTTTGATAAGTACTTCTACCTCAGTGAAGCAACCAAAAGCGCATTCAGTCTTTTGAGATGTATATATTCGTTTTGACTACTTTTTGATTGGAGTTCTTTAAAACTCATCTACTTTTCTTCATTTAAGACAAGTTTTCACTCACTCAATCCAAAAATTAAATAAATAAATATACAACTTCCAGTTCTTCTCACGCCACATAAATAAATATTATTTCAATTCAAATTTAAAATAAATTCCTGCCATGGATCTTTTGCATGATAGCTAAAGAAATTAATTACGTTAACAATTACCAGTGATTATTAGTGGTGTTGCCACTTAAATTTTTTATAACTTTTCTAATACGCTGCTACTTTTTGTTCATTGATTTCATAATGGGAGCAAAGCTCGATGTCATGTCGCCTATATTGACATTTTGACAAAGAAAAAAAAAAAAATGAGGCTCAAACAATGGCTAAATTGCTACCCAACTCAAGGATCATAGTGTTTTAGGCCAATGCATCCCTTTGCC